GAGTCCGAAATGTACCTCTGTGACTCCAGATTGAGGAAACTCACTTGTAGTGTATAAGATGAACTAGATGGACCCATACTTACCCAAACATGGATTAATAGGTTCTCCACATACTATGAGGACAAACATGAGTGAAACGGTCTCAATCCAAGGGAGGAACATCAAATGGACCAAATTTGGGAACCGGAAGAGGTAAGGAGTCCGAAATGTACCTCTGTGACTCCAGATTGAGGAAACTCACTTGTAGTGTATAAGATGAACTAGATGGACCCATACTTACCCAAACATGGATTAATAGGTTCTCCACATGACTATGAGGACAAACATGAGTGAAACGGTCTCAATCCAAGGGAGGAACATCAAATGGACCAAATTTGGGAACCGGAAGAGGTAAGGAGTCCGAAATGTACCTCTGTGACTCCAGATTGAGGAAACTCACTTGTAGTGTATAAGATGAACTAGATGGACCCATACTTACCCAAACATGGATTAATAGGTTCTCCACATACTATGAGGACAAACATGAGTGAAACGGTCTCAATCCAAGGGAGGAACATCAAATGGACCAAATTTGGGAACCGGAAGAGGTAAGGAGTCCGAAATGTACCTCTGTGACTCCAGATTGAGGAAACTCACTTGTAGTGTATAAGATGAACTAGATGGACCCATACTTACCCAAACATGGATTAATAGGTTCTACACATGACTATGAGGACAAACATGAGTGAAACGGTCTCAATCCAAGGGAGGAACATCAAATGGACCAAATTTGGGAACCGGAAGAGGTAAGGAGTCCGAAATGTACCTCTGTGACTCCAGATTGAGGAAACTCACTTGTAGTGTATAAGATGAACTAGATGGACCCATACTTACCCAAACATGGATTAATAGTTCTATACATGACTATGAGGACAAACATGAGTGAAACGGTCTCAATCCAAGGGAGGAACATCAAATGGACCAAATTTGGGAACCGGAAGAGGTAAGGAGTCCGAAATGTACCTCTGTGACTCCAGATTGAGGAAACTCACTTGTAGTGTATAAGATGAACTAGATGGACCCATACTTACCCAAACATGGATTAATAGTTCTATACATGACTATGAGGACAAACATGAGTGAAACGGTCTCAATCCAAGGGAGGAACATCAAATGGACCAAATTTGGGAACCGGAAGAGGTAAGGAGTCCGAAATGTACCTCTGTGACTCCAGATTGAGGAAACTCACTTGTAGTGTATAAGATGAACTAGATGGACCCATACTTACCCAAACATGGATTAATAGGTTCTATCCACATGACTATGAGGACAAACATGAGTGAAACGGTCTCAATCCAAGGGAGGAACATCAAATGGACCAAATTTGGGAACCGGAAGAGGTAAGGAGTCCGAAATGTACCTCTGTGACTCCAGATTGAGGAAACTCACTTGTAGTGTATAAGATGAACTAGATGGACCCATACTTACCCAAACATGGATTAATAGGTTCTCCACATACTATGAGGACAAACATGAGTGAAACGGTCTCAATCCAAGGGAGGAACATCAAATGGACCAAATTTGGGAACCGGAAGAGGTAAGGAGTCCGAAATGTACCTCTGTGACTCCAGATTGAGGAAACTCACTTGTAGTGTATAAGATGAACTAGATGGACCCATACTTACCCAAACATGGATTAATAGGTTCTCCACATGACTATGAGGACAAACATGAGTGAAACGGTCTCAATCCAAGGGAGGAACATCAAATGGACCAAATTTGGGAACCGGAAGAGGTAAGGAGTCCGAAATGTACCTCTGTGACTCCAGATTGAGGAAACTCACTTGTAGTGTATAAGATGAACTAGATGGACCCATACTTACCCAAACATGGATTAATAGGTTCTATCCACATGACTATGAGGACAAACATGAGTGAAACGGTCTCAATCCAAGGGAGGAACATCAAATGGACCAAATTTGGGAACCGGAAGAGGTAAGGAGTCCGAAATGTACCTCTGTGACTCCAGATTGAGGAAACTCACTTGTAGTGTATAAGATGAACTAGATGGACCCATACTTACCCAAACATGGATTAATAGGTTCTCCACATGACTATGAGGACAAACATGAGTGAAACGGTCTCAATCCAAGGGAGGAACATCAAATGGACCAAATTTGGGAACCGGAAGAGGTAAGGAGTCCGAAATGTACCTCTGTGACTCCAGATTGAGGAAACTCACTTGTAGTGTATAAGATGAACTAGATGGACCCATACTTACCCAAACATGGATTAATAGGTTCTATACATGACTATGAGGACAAACATGAGTGAAACGGTCTCAATCCAAGGGAGGAACATCAAATGGACCAAATTTGGGAACCGGAAGAGGTAAGGAGTCCGAAATGTACCTCTGTGACTCCAGATTGAGGAAACTCACTTGTAGTGTATAAGATGAACTAGATGGACCCATACTTACCCAAACATGGATTAATAGGTTCTATACATGACTATGAGGACAAACATGAGTGAAACGGTCTCAATCCAAGGGAGGAACATCAAATGGACCAAATTTGGGAACCGGAAGAGGTAAGGAGTCCGAAATGTACCTCTGTGACTCCACATTGAGGAAACTCACTTGTAGTGTATAAGATGAACTAGATGGACCCATACTTACCCAAACATGGATTAATAGGTTCTCCACATACTATGAGGACAAACATGAGTGAAACGGTCTCAATCCAAGGGAGGAACATCAAATGGACCAAATTTGGGAACCGGAAGAGGTAAGGAGTCCGAAATGTACCTCTGTGACTCCAGATTGAGGAAACTCACTTGTAGTGTATAAGATGAACTAGATGGACCCATACTTACCCAAACATGGATTAATAGGTTCTATCCACATGACTATGAGGACAAACATGAGTGAAACGGTCTCAATCCAAGGGAGGAACATCAAATGGACCAAATTTGGGAACCGGAAGAGGTAAGGAGTCCGAAATGTACCTCTGTGACTCCAGATTGAGGAAACTCACTTGTAGTGTATAAGATGAACTAGATGGACCCATACTTACCCAAACATGGATTAATAGGTTCTATCCACATGACTATGAGGACAAACATGAGTGAAACGGTCTCAATCCAAGGGAGGAACATCAAATGGACCAAATTTGGGAACCGGAAGAGGTAAGGAGTCCGAAATGTACCTCTGTGACTCCAGATTGAGGAAACTCACTTGTAGTGTATAAGATGAACTAGATGGACCCATACTTACCCAAACATGGATTAATAGTTCTCCACATGACTATGAGGACAAACATGAGTGAAACGGTCTCAATCCAAGGGAGGAACATCAAATGGACCAAATTTGGGAACCGGAAGAGGTAAGGAGTCCGAAATGTACCTCTGTGACTCCAGATTGAGGAAACTCACTTGTAGTGTATAAGATGAACTAGATGGACCCATACTTACCCAAACATGGATTAATAGGTTCTATCCACATGACTATGAGGACAAACATGAGTGAAACGGTCTCAATCCAAGGGAGGAACATCAAATGGACCAAATTTGGGAACCGGAAGAGGTAAGGAGTCCGAAATGTACCTCTGTGACTCCAGATTGAGGAAACTCACTTGTAGTGTATAAGATGAACTAGATGGACCCATACTTACCCAAACATGGATTAATAGGTTCTCCACATGACTATGAGGACAAACATGAGTGAAACGGTCTCAATCCAAGGGAGGAACATCAAATGGACCAAATTTGGGAACCGGAAGAGGTAAGGAGTCCGAAATGTACCTCTGTGACTCCAGATTGAGGAAACTCACTTGTAGTGTATAAGATGAACTAGATGGACCCATACTTACCCAAACATGGATTAATAGGTTCTATCCACATGACTATGAGGACAAACATGAGTGAAACGGTCTCAATCCAAGGGAGGAACATCAAATGGACCAAATTTGGGAACCGGAAGAGGTAAGGAGTCCGAAATGTACCTCTGTGACTCCAGATTGAGGAAACTCACTTGTAGTGTATAAGATGAACTAGATGGACCCATACTTACCCAAACATGGATTAATAGGTTCTATCCACATGACTATGAGGACAAACATGAGTGAAACGGTCTCAATCCAAGGGAGGAACATCAAATGGACCAAATTTGGGAACCGGAAGAGGTAAGGAGTCCGAAATGTACCTCTGTGACTCCAGATTGAGGAAACTCACTTGTAGTGTATAAGATGAACTAGATGGACCCATACTTACCCAAACATGGATTAATAGGTTCTCCACATTACTATGAGGACAAACATGAGTGAAACGGTCTCAATCCAAGGGAGGAACATCAAATGGACCAAATTTGGGAACCGGAAGAGGTAAGGAGTCCGAAATGTACCTCTGTGACTCCAGATTGAGGAAACTCACTTGTAGTGTATAAGATGAACTAGATGGACCCATACTTACCCAAACATGGATTAATAGCTTCTACATGACTATGAGGACAAACATGAGTGAAACGGTCTCAATCCAAGGGAGGAACATCAAATGGACCAAATTTGGGAACCGGAAGAGGTAAGGAGTCCGAAATGTACCTCTGTGACTCCACATTGTGGAAACTCACTTGTAGTGTATAAGATGAACTAGATGGACCCATACTTACCCAAACATGGATTAATAGGTTCTACACATGACTATGAGGACAAACATGAGTGAAACGGTCTCAATCCAAGGGAGGAACATCAAATGGACCAAATTTGGGAACCGGAAGAGGTAAGGAGTCCGAAATGTACCTCTGTGACTCCACATTTGAGGAAACTCACTTGTAGTGTATAAGATGAACTAGATGGACCCATACTTACCCAAACATGGATTAATAGTTCTACACATGACTATGAGGACAAACATGAGTGAAACGGTCTCAATCTCAGAGACATGTATCCCCTGTTCCAATATCGAATGACTTTTAGTGTACTTTGATTCCAACATTTTAAATTTTAGAAAAAGAAGAGGAATGATTCTTACAAAGTTCCAAAGACTCTGCCAGTGTTGTCTTGATTTTGAGTCCCTTGAAACATCCGAGCCAAGCCAAAATCCGATATTTTTGGATTCATCTTCTCGTCCAAGAGAATGTTGCTGGCCTTTAGATCGCGATGCACAACTCTAAGTAACGAGTCTCGATGGAGGTAGACAAGTCCACGAGCAATACCTTGAATGATATTGAATCTCTTAGACCAACCAATCTCCAGCTTCTTCTTCAAATCTATAAAAATATCACAGACATTCAACCAAAACCGATTAGCATCTAAAGCCACAGAAAGAAAATGACAAATGAAGATGTATATAAAAAAAAGAAGGGACTAACCGAATAGGAAACTATCAAGACTCTTGTTCACCATAAACTCATAAACCAATAGCTTCTCTTCTCCTTCAATGCAATATCCTAAAAGCCGAACCAAGTTTCTGTGTTGTAGTTTTGAGATGAGTTTTAATTCATTCATGAATTCCTCTGTTCCCTCTCCAGAGCTCCTAGAGAGCCGTTTTATAGCTATCTCTTTCCCATCTTTTAGCTTTCCCTATAAGCATAATGAGTTGCAGAGAGAGAGAGAGAGAGAGAGTCATCTACAGATCAATAACGAGAATAAGAGAACAGAGCAAAACAGAGAGAGCATCATTTCATATCTTGTACCTTATAAACTGTTCCAAATCCACCTTGACCGAGTTTATTTGAGATGCTGAAATTATCGGTTGCATTTTGTATGGTATGCATCTCAAAGAAATTTAAACCTGAGACATCTTGTGATTTCAAATGATTCTTCCAAGAATCTTCTGAAACCTCCATGGCTACACGAGCTTGACCTAAGAGTTACATGTATCCATCCATATATTAGCACTTAAAGCCTTTGAGGATTAATCCAAAGCTCAATATAGTGTAACATCAGACAAGTGAAGAGAAATATGATAAAGAAAACAAATGAATAGAAAACAAACAGAGACATAAATAGTGAACTCTTAAGTTTTTTTTTCTGGATCCTCACCATTTTGTTTCACTCTGTATCTCCAACACCCAAATGCTGCTAGCCCCAAGATTATAATCACGCAGAGGCTGATAGCGCTAACAGAGATGATCTTGATTCTTTTGCTTCCAGCTGAGAGAATCACCAAGAAACTCAACTTTAAACTTGTGTCAAGAAAGAAAGCATAGTAAAGAAAGCTAAGAGATAACGTAAACCGGAAACAAAAATATGATTTGTGATACCTAACTCAGAACGTGCAAGACGGATGAAAAGAATCTCTCCTCCTTGAGTAAACTGAACCATGTCCAACAACTCATGTTTCCACACCAAGCATCCGATTCCTTTAATATAGGCAAACGCCGAGCAAGAACAATTGCCAAGACATCCTTGACGGCATTGTTCTGCGTCACCAGAGCTCGCCAGTTCGTAAGAATCCGGAGGCTTGATATTGGCGACACGGTAAAACCCGTCTGTTGTGTCTTTGCTTTGTGTTGTTGAAGAATAGTTTCCCTGACATGATGATGATAACTCTGTTCGTCTCACACACCCACGCGTCCAGTTTCCGCTATTCCACTCATCATCTGACTTTGGCACAAACCCTTTCAAGCATTTGCATATTGGACTACTAATGGACCTTATGCACATACCATTAGCTCCACACGTACCGTAGAGATCACATGAGCTTAGAGGACCTTCAAAATGCTTAATCCACCCGGTGTTGCCGCCATTACTTCGGCGAACGTTCAATGATCCATCCGATGCTAGCTTGATGTATGACACATCAAAGTTTCTCAGCGCACAAAAAGTCATAACTCCTGTACCATTCACCACATCTTGGACCATTGTTAATGGATTTACATAAGTTTCATCCATTTCTAATATCCCTGTGAACCTTGTTTCCGCCCAAGGCCCGCTTCTCCAGTAAGGTAATGAGCCTTTCCTTACAAGCCCTTGAGGTGGAACTTCTGGAGTAAGCTCTGCTACAAATTCCCCAGGAGATGGATCCGTGTTACTCTTCCAAGAAGTCAACACACGTCTCGTGTTGTTAGGAATAGCATACATGAGCGATGACAGAGGAAGCATAGTATCAGTAGGATGCTCAAAACTTTGCCATAGATGCGTGCCGGTTACGTTATCTACGAGAACAAGATTTCCGTAGTCTGAAAGCTCTGCACGGACTTGGTTAGATGTTAGAGATTCTTCTCCAGATGACCAGAGAAGTTTTTGTTTCTCGTCAAGCAAGATGAGGCTTCCATTGCTGCTGATTGTAAGACTCGCCGTGGAGCTCGTGACTGGATTTTCTCTGTTAGCTACCCAAACATATACCCGAGGAGTGACTTTCTTGAACCAGATTCCAACGTACTGATGGTTTTGAGTGCTGCTGGGATTGAAGAATCCTAGCTCAAAGGTTCCATCTGGAGAGCTCAGAGTTTGTCTTATCGACAAAGGACTCGATGTGGTTATATCTGCAAATCCATAACTTTG